CCATCACAAAATGTTTATAAATGTGGTGTTGACAGGAAATATGAGCAAAGTGTGAGCGAAAAACTGAAAGCGAACACAAAATTAAGAGAAAACTAGTACATTGGCAAGAAGAAAAATATAAAATGACCAAGTAGATAGTGACTACACAACTAGCAATGAAATTCCAAATTTTCAACAAAAACATTACAAAATTCCTCAAAAAGATGTGTCTCAAACATCAGATTATTCCACATCAGCAGAACTCCTTATCGAATCAATGATACCAAGAAAAGACAGTTTATGTAAGAAAAAAAGGAAGTTCTCACCCCAGTACGATGTCCCCAAATCTTCACTTCAATCATTTGATTCTTCTGAAGATGACAAACTTGAATCTAAGGAAGGTGTGAAATATGACCGTACTGAAGATATTCGAGTTCTATCAGACCTAGATATTTCTGATTTTGAAAGTGGTGATGAAGGCAACAAGGACGATGAAGAGGAAAACACACTAGTACTTCAGATCCAAAGCTGAAATGGACACATAAATTGCAGAATGTTACAAAGAAGACCTTTACAGGTCCTAAACCTGATGTAGTCATTCCTTTGTCATTGTAAACAAAAGAAACATTCCACGAGCACATATTCAGAATGAAGTCTACCAATGCCTAATTTATTGCGCAGCAAAAAGAAGGCAGTCCCAGGACAAAACCTGGAGAGAGGATTCCCATATAATGTCAATATACAGGGCATAAAATCTTTCATTGGTTTCCTCATGATAATGGCCTTGACCCAGAACCATGCCTAGATGATTACAGTCTACTCACCTTGCATTTAACAATCAGCTAGTCTCAAAGTCTATGTCCAAAAATTGGTTTGAATCCGTACAATGATTTTTCACATGAATAATCCTTATAGCAATCCATCAAGGCAACCAGACAAGGCTCTAACAAAAGAGAACATCAAAAAAGATCCTCTTTACGAAGTTTCACTACTTATGGAAGGTGTGAGGAAAAACAGTTTACAAAAGTACAATCTTTACCAGGAAGTATCTGTAGACCAAGTGATGATCAAGTGCCATGTCCAACAGTGGACAACTGTAGGGGCTCCAAATAAAACGACAAAGAGAGGATTTAGTGTCTTTGTGGATGCTGATGCTGTAACTGGTTTCCTGTGAGTTTCCAATTTATTTAAGGAAACAAAAGGAAATCAGACTTACACAGCATGTTATTGACAACTTTACAGAGGGCACTGATGGTAGGAACCATGTCATATTTGTGGACAAGTTTTACACATCTGTACGTTTAGCTGTATCCCGTTTTAGAGAAATCAACATTCCTGTGTGGATCTTTCAATACTGGTAGGAAGAAGAGGCCTGCAGACCTTCAAGTAGACAAACAAAAGCAAAGCAAGACAAAATCATAACCTTACAGAGAGATAACTACCTCATAAGACAAACCATAGATGGACAACTAGTTGCCACTACTGTTGGCAGGAAACAAGGACAATTTTTAATTTAAACACTTTTCACAACCCTATTACAGATGAAAGGCATGACAAAGTGGAACAAAACATCTGAATGCATCAGGGAAATGGGGAAAATTGGAATTTCCATGGCCTGAGGAAGTTGTTGAGTTTAACAAGTACATGGGTGGAGTAGTTACAATCTACGAGGGCCGAGCATCTACTGATGGACTTACTGTGTGTGGTTTGGCCTAGATATGGCATTAATCAATGCCTTATTGATGTACAAAGACACTCAACGAAAAGAAACCCACAAGGAATTTCAGCTAAAGTAAGTATTAAGATCATTTATCAGCTATTCTGGTTTTCCAGGAATGTAAAAGTATGTTTATAATTATTATCATTATATTCTTTATGTCTTTGACAGGTAGCTTGGAGGCGATAGTAATCAAATACATACACCAAAACAGGTAGATGTCGTAGCAATTTCGTCTCTGTTTAATGTGTCACATAAGTCATAGCAGTGCCATGTTTGCAGATATTGTAGCAAAATGAAAACACAAACTGGAGTAGGGCAAGCACGAGAAACAACATACAGATGCTCTAAATGTGGTGTTTACATTCACAGATATATATGAAGTTACTTAAGCTTTTAATCAATAACTGCATTATTCTTTATTAAATAAATACCATGCATATATATATATATCCATAATGCAGTATTGTTCTCTTTGTTATTTTACAGAAAGTGTTTTCTTCCATACCGTGAAACAGGGATTCAGAAAAATCCATGCAACAACATTGAACTTCAGACAGAAGTTGTTAAAACACCATCAAAGTTGCAGTCTACTAGAGGTAACAACAGATATATATATATATATATATATATATATATATATATATAATATCGTATTTACATAGACATATTTATATATGTTAAAAACATACATATTATTTATCATTTCTATAATCATTTATCTTAAAAACACAGAAACCAAAACACTACAAGAGATATGAAGGTCAATTCAATCTGTATTCACAAGGTAAGAAAATGTTAGTAAAGATAACTACCTCTGCCTGAATACGCCTTCAATGATACAGGTGTAGCTATACACATTATACATGCTTTATTTGGTTTTATTTGTAGATCGAACTCCCAAAAAGATAAAGACTGATGACAAAACATCAAATACTTCCGTTATAATTGACACATCCAAAAGAATTGGAAAGAATAAAAACGATCCTGTGAAAAAGACAAAAGGCAGCTTATTGCAATGTTCCTCTTATGTTTCAGTTAACAGCATTGATGATTTTAAAAGGCTTTCCAAAAATCATAAATGTTGCATCAAAAATCCAAGTTCAAAGCCATTTTGTTGAATAATATTTCTGACTTGAAACAACAAATCCAATGTAAATATCAGGTGTAGCAAAACGTTAAACATGGGACGAGCAAGACAACATAAATGACCTATCATTATATTTCCAGATTTTTTAGGTTGAAGGCACACCCCTCAAAAGGGAATACTTTATATTTGTCTAAGTAAACGGCTGTGTATCAATCTGTTCAAACAGCTAATTGTTTTGATTATTTCAAAAATCATATCCTATTCATCGGCAGTGAAAATTGTATTTCGTAAGTACTACTAGTAGCCATTCCATACAAATCCACACTGCATATGTGTTATTTGAGATACAACCAAACCTTGTAGCGTACCAGTCTGTATTGAAGATTTGTAATGAGAAATTCTATATAAAACCACAACATAATGATGCGTATCAAAGACTTGATATATGAAATTCTACATAAATCCCGAGCATATTAACAAGAAGATTTATAATGAGAAATTCTACATAAACCTACAGCATAATATTTAATATATCTAGTATTACATAAAGTCACAGATAGTAATATATTAATATTTGAAAACCACAGAAGACTACAGCATTCAAATCCGTCCAGAAATTTTAACATTTCTACAGCAACAGGAAGAAACTGCAACCTACCAATAGGTAGTCATTGATGTAGTATGGTAATCCACAGTGTGCCGATCTCCACTGGAGGCAAAGTATCATTTTATTCCTTAGCAAAAATATACTAAAGGTCTCGAAATACAACAACAACAAATACTAAAAGAATCATTATGGATGTTCTGCTGTGACTTTAAATGTATGCGTAAACCCGCTGTAGCAGTTACATAAATATGGATATTCTCCAATGTCAATAGAAGTCTGTAACGTATAAAACATGAAAACCTCCTTATGATTGAAGGTCCATGATGTACTAATGCATGCCTGAGTCTAATTAGTAAAGACTAATTGTCTTTTAATTTACATCTACTTTGCTATAATATACTGGATATTCAATCATTCAGATATGCCTTGAAGTATGTTTGCGAAAAAAAACAATAAAATGTATGAAAAAGATCAATTAGGTATTAAAAGTTTGTCTGAAATAAAATATATTCATTATTTATCAAATTTAATTACAATCAACTAAAAACAGAATGAAACCAAGTCATATCTTCTTTCAATTAGTGTCACATTAAAATTGAGGACAGGAATCAGCTTTAGTAAACTAGCTTGGTTATCACATCAAAAAATGGCAAAAACCGGTTGTTGAAATGAAAAGTCTGCAGCCGTCCTACGACAAATAATTACAGCTCTTGGAGAGCCGTTTTTTAGTGCACACTGATACAATTTGGACGTGCTGCGCTATAAGATAGTAGCCCTCCAAAGGATACTGAACTTTCAATGTGGGCCAAAAAATAACAACACCTAAGCTTCCTTTCCTATATATCCCCACTGATTTAAAGCTCCATGGCACCACTGGAACTTGAAAATCATTTCAGGTACGTCTCAGCTGAATTCCAATAAAGGAACTTGACAAGATATTTACATGTTTATGCAGTAAAGAACAAATCAGCAACACATCTTCCTTAGTTTAACAAGCAAAAGTCTATTTGCTCTACAATGTAAGAAAATAAAAGCAAAACTCACCACTTTCTTTCAAAAAGGATGTGACCCCATTAAGTTTGAAGCTGCCCAGTCAATCACCAGAAGACAAAGCTGGAGTAGCTTCCCTTGAAATTGTCCTTCTTCCCTGGTCTTTAGAGCTATGGCTAAGTATATTCCCTTTGATATCCTCCCTTCCTGGTCATGCATTCTGAGGTTGTGAGGTAGTAGTCTCCCTTTATATCCACTAAAATGATCTGTACACTTACAGGTTTCTTCCGTCTTTCACCTTTTGCTGTCTGCATGTCCGACGATGTACCTAACCTGTCTTAAAACACCTAAAAATTCCTAGCATAGCAATTCCTAACAAAACGATGGGCATTTCTTTTAGGTCTTCTAGAACATCTTCATTGAAACTGGTCAAAGTTCAAATTTGTCATAATTGTAAGTTCATTTCACAGTTTCTACTTTTCAGTTACTTAAATGTGTAAAACTGGTATGTAACAGAGAAAGAGAGAATGGAACACCATAAAGAAAATGTGATCTGGTTTGTTAGATATAGTCTTATTCCAGTTTCAATGAAGTATGATTACAGGTTTTAGTCCTACCTCCAGTAAGTGAGCAGTGACTGGTCGCCACAAGACCTCAACACGGGCTAGATTGACAAGACCGGTCTCCAGTAACTTAGCCACGGCAAACAAGGACGGTTCCTGTAAGTAAAACATGCCCAGTCAAAAGCATTGTATTGTTTACTAAATATTAGATATTTTAATAATAACTATCTTTCCACACATCAGTTATTACATGTAAAGATTTAATTCAACATTCATCTATCATTGCATGAAGAGACCATATTACACTACATGCCAATTAGTTTTTCAATTGACACTTCCCAATGTGTTACCTCCCTTTATCAGGAAAAAACTACTCAAGAACCTTCACACAGCAGTCGAAAAACAAGGTCCAATTTTGATTAATAATTTGTTAGATATAAATGTTTAGCTAATATATTTTCACTTTATTAAGCATCCTCCTTCAAGTAGAGCTTTCATAGTATATGTATATATAGATAGAGGCCATATGTAGAGTAATGATATTCATCATATCCTGAAATAAATGCGCCACATCTAAAATAAATTGTAAACTTAATAACATCATTAAAAAACATTTGACTTTCAGAATATCTTCTTCATCCAGGGACATTTTCATTTGAAAATGATGTAATAATCATAATGTTTATTTAATCAAAGAACTTTCGCAATAAAGATGTTCGGGGAATAGAACTTGTTTTTCGACCAACTGCGGCAACCAAAATGCAACGGGAAGCATAAAACCCATCAGATATCCTTTTCTGTCGCCGGTATGTCTCAAACCCACATTCTTGGGGAGAAGGACTTGAAGCTTATGTTTGAATGTAAGCATCACATCGGTGTTCACTGTCAGCACAATAGCAATCATATTTTACCAAGGCACTATATAAGTAACATTACAATCATATGTTTGGTCTCTTTTTATCATTACTTTTGTAATGGATTATCCTAAACTATTATCAATGCATTTGTAATATCAAACATCAGCTGACATATCAACACCCATACCATTGACTAGCTCAACTAATATATTCTTACTGTTACATATTTATACAAGAGGCCCAAGAGGCCTGCATTGCTCACATGGCTCTTAATTCAGCTATTCAGTCATTCAACAAAGAATTACAAAAAGGTAGAATAATTTCCCTATTGGGCCCTCATCTTATGGTCAAATTATACAAAACAGATTCACCTAAGCATGCCTCAGATGAAATTGTGACATTATCAAGGCATTCCTACTTGAGAAGAATGATTTCTAAGAATATGGCCTATTTCAGCTAAAGGCCCTTAGCCCCTTCTGCCCCAGGGAGCTAAATACCATTGTTTATACAAATATTATTTCCCTTAACCCAAGAATACTTTACACCAAATTGGGACAAATTCTAGGAATTCCTATAGAAGAATGCTTTTAAAAGGACATGCTCATTTGAACCTTTCCCTCCACAGTGGGCCAAGGCCCATCTATATACAAAAATAACTCTCCTGTACACAAGAATGCTTTATACCAAATTGGGACAGTTTCCAGGCATTCCTACAGAAGAATGCTTTTAAAGGATTTACTCCATTTCCCCTATTGAGCCCAGCCCTTCCCCTGGGGGCAAAGACTGACCATTTATACAAAAATAATTCCCCTGTACACAAGGATGCTTCACACCAAATTGGGACAGAATCCAGGCATTACTATAGAAGAAGAAGAATTTTAAAGAATTTGGCCTACTTCAACTATTAGGCCCAGCCCTCCCCAGAGAGTCAAGTCCCACCATTTATACCAAAATGATTTCCCTTACCAAGGCATTCCTGCAGAAGAAGATTTTAAAAGGATTTGCTCTATTGAACCCTCCCCTCCCCAGTGGGTCAAGGACCATCTACATACAAAAACAACTCCCCTGTACCTAAGGATGCTTCACACCAAATTGGACAGAATCCAGGCATTCCAATTGAAGGATTTTAAAGGATTTGCTCTATTTCCCTCATTTCCATCTATCAACTCCCAAGGGGGACAATTCACAATTAATACAAAATTAATTCCTATTCACTCAAGGATATTTCAGACCAAATTTGAGCAAAATCCACTAAGACATTTCTTAAGAAAAAGTTGACAGACATTGCAGTGTAGCATAAGCTCGACGGTCCTTTGGACCAAGAGAGCTGAAAAGACTAAGCACTTTTATATACAGGCCACATATTCCCTAAGTTTTTATAAATGGCGTGGGATATTGGTACAATTAATATACAATAAGTAACTAGGAATACATGTTTTTATGTTACTGACAAGCATACTTCCAATTCTACACCCATTACCATGCTCTTATTATTTCAATGATCATCTTTCTATATTGACATTACCAAAAAGTATCTTTCTCTAGCAACAATACCAAACCATGTTTCTACATCAAGAGTATCAAAAATAATCTTTTTACATTGTACATTGACAATATCCAACATCATCTTTTTACATCGACGATACCTTGACAACACCTAAAAGAACCATTCTACATTAACAACACCAAAAAGAACCTTTCTACATTGACAACACCAAAAACCATCTTTCACGTCTTTCTTCATTAACAATACCATTTTTTCCTTTTCTACATTAATAAAACTAAAAAATAACTTTCTACATTGACAAAACCAAACAATACCAGTAATAATTTTCTAGATCAACAGTATCAAAACCAGCTTTATCTCTGTACACTGACAATATCAAATCTATATCTCTGTACACTGACAATACCAAATCTATATCTTGTACACAGACAATACCAAATCTATATCTTGTACACTGACAATACCAAATCTATATCTTGTACACTGACAATACCAAATCTATATCTTGTACACTGACAATACCAAATCTATATCTTGTACACAGACAATACCAAATCTATATCTTGTACACTGACAATACCAAATCTATATCTTGTACACTGACAATACCAAATCTATATCTCTGTACAGTGACAATACCAAATCTATATCTCTGTACACTGACAATACCAAATCTATATCTCTGTACACTGACAATACCAAATCTATATCTCTGTACACTGACAATACCAAATCTATATCTCTGTACACTGACAATACCAAATCTATACTTTGTACACTGACAATACCAAATCTATACTTTGTACACTGACAATACCAAATCTATATCTCTGTACAGTGACAATACCAAATCTTATCTCTGTTCACTGACAATACCAAATCTATATCTCTGTACACTGACAATACCAAATCTATATCTCTGTACACTGACAATACCAAATCTATATCTCTGTACACTGACAATACCAAATCTATATCTTGTACACTGACAATACCAAATCTATATCTCTGTACACTGACAATACCAAATCTATATCTCTGGACACTGACAATAACAAATCTATACTTTGTACACTGACAATACCAAATCTATACTTTGTACACTGACAATACCAAATCTATATCTCTGTACAGTGACAATACCAAATCTTATCTCTGTTCACTGACAATACCAAATCTATATTTCTGTTCACTGACAATACCAAATCTATATCTTGTACAATGACAATACCAAATCTATATCTCTGTACTCTGACAATACCAAATCTATATCTTGTACAATGACAATACCAAATCTATATCTTGTACACTGACAATACCAAATACCAAATCTATATCTCTGTACACTGACAATACCAAATCTATATCTTGTACACTGACAATACCAAATCTATATCTCTGTACACTGACAATACCAAATCTATATCTTGTACACTGACAATACCAAATCTATATCTCTGTACATTGACAATACCAAATCTATATCTCTGTACACTGACAATACCAAATCTTATCTCTGTTCACTGACAATACCAAATCTTATCTCTGTTCACTGACAATACCAAATCTATATCTCTGTACACTGACAATACCAAATCTATATCTTGTACACTGACAATACCAAATCTATATCTCTGTACACTGACAATACCAAATCTATATCTTGTACACTGACAATACCAAATCTATATCTCTGTACACTGACAATACCAAATCTTATCTCTGTTCACTGACAATACCAAATCTATATCTTGTATACTGACAATACCAAATCTTATCTCTGTTCACTGACAATACCAAATCTATATCTCTGTACTCTGACAATACCAAATCTATATCTTGTACACTGACAATACCAAATCTTATCTCTGTACACTGACAATACCAAATCTTATCTCTGTTCACTGACAATACCAAATCTATATCTCTGTACTCTGACAATACCAAATCTATATCTTGTACACTGACAATACCAAATCTTATCTCTGTACACTGACAAAACCAAATCTTATCTCTGTTCACTGACAATACCAAATCTATATCTCTGTGACAATACCAAATCTATATCTCTGTACTCTGACAATACCAAATCTATATCTTGTACACTGACAATACCAAATCTTATCTCTGTACTCTGACAATACCAAATCTATATCTCTGTACTCTGACAATACCAAATCTATATCTTGTACACTGACAATACCAAATCTATATCTCTGTACACTGACAATACCAAATCTATATCTCTGTACACTGACAATACCAAATCTATATCTCTGTACACTGACAATACCAAATCTATATCTCTGTACACTGGCAATACCAAATCTATATCTCTGTACACTTACAATACCAAATCTATATTTCTGTACACTGACAATACCAAATCTATATCTTGTACACTGACAATACCAAATCTATATCTTGTACACTGACAATACCAAATCTTATCTCTGTACACTGACAATACCAAATCTATATCTCTGTACACTGACAATACCAAATCTATATCTCTGTACACTGACAATACCAAATCTATATCTCTGTACACTTACAATACTCTGTACACTTACAATACCAAATCTATATTTCTGTTCACTGACAATACCAAATCTATATCTCTATACACTGACAACACCAAATCTATATCTCTGTACACTGACAATACCAAATCTATATCTCTGTACACTTACAATACCAAATCTATATCTTGTACACTGACAATACCAAATCTATATCTCTGTACACTGACAATACCAAATCTATATCTCTATACACTGACAACACCAAAT